TGAACACAAACTAACACATAATGAACACATACTAACACATAATGAACACATACTAACACATAACCTAAGCTAACAAGAACAGATGAATCACTAAAAGAACAATGCTAAATACCTAAACGAAATGATTAACAATGAACATAAATTTTACCCATAATCCCTCACTGAGGCCATGTGACTGGCAGTCAACCACAATGAACCAATGAGGTAGTCTAATTGAGTCACAAGGACCCACCCCCCAAGAGATAATAAATAAAGTGCTATGTGTTGTCATCATTGTATGTTCCCATACAAAGACCAAATTGTCTCTGCATTTAACCCATCGCACCTGGAATACACCCAGGTGGAGCAGTGGGCAGCTATGTAAGCTGCCTGGGGAGCAATTCGGGATTGGGTGTCCTGTTCAGAGACACCACTATATGTGCAATGACTGGGGATTGAACCCAGGACCTTCAGTTCCTGAGTCGGCTGCCCTGCCCCTAAAAGATAAATGTATTGATGAGACTACCTGTATAAATACATGTTAAAAAAAAATCTGAGCAATGAAATTACCAAACAGGTCACAGTCGAAACAATGAAACGGGGAGGGGAGAACGGGAGGGGGGATTCCTCTGGATGCGCAGAGCATGTGAATCTCACATGCTCATAGAGCAATTTTGCTCCGCTTGGAGCACAAGCTTGCAGCAGAAGGAATATAGTGATCATTGACTTCCTGGTAGGCTACTGTTTTTTTTAAACCAGCTGTGTCACAGAAACTGTTCAGAAAAAAAAACAATTACTGTACGTATTTGTGCATGTTACCGGTACGTACTATAGCACACTATGGTCCATTGTGGTCAACTGCTGGTCACATGGCCTCAGGGAGGGATTATGGGTAAAATTTATGTTCATTGTTAATCATTTTCATTAGCTGTTTAGCATTGTTCTTTTAGTGACTAGCCTGTTCTTGTTAGCCTACTGGTAGTTTGTGATCATTGTGTGTTAGTTTGTGTTAGGCCATTCTGTAGCGTAACCATGAGTGAGGGAGGTAGTTGTCATGAAGACCTGTGGGGTTCACTCTGTCTGCGTGTGCTGGACAGTAAAATCTATGATCTACAACAAGGTTTGTACATAGTAGCTGTGTGCTGTAACTCAAGTTACAATGTGGTCACCTGCGGCTTATATATGTACAAATGTATTTATTTATTTTGTGCAGCCTATATTGAGGTGCGCTCTATACACCGGCAGTTACGGTAATTACAAACAATTTCTACTCCATCATTGACAAAATACATTTTCATCAGAACCTCAAAACTATCCTGATGATTGAAATAAAGGTAACACAACTTAATAATAAAAAAAACCTTTAAATAGAAAAGCTAATTTGTTTAATTATCAAATCAAAGAGCTACAATAAATACAAGAGCACCGCCAGGTTGAATGCTCAGAGTTCAAAATACACGTGTTTTAAACCTACTGACATTAAAACACGTTTTTATTAAAGAGTTTCCACCATTTCATTAATAATTTGTCAATCATCTGTGTTGTTGTGATGAAGTCTGTTGATTTTATGAGGATCAAAAGCTTCGTAAAGTTTCTTGAGTTGATCTGTGAAGGTAAGTGCTGGCAGACGAGCCTTTATGAGTCCCAGCGTTACAGAGGGGCACGATGTGTGCTCACACTGAACTGTTCCTCTGAAATTATACATTTTACTTTAAAATATTTGCATCCCAATTAATACATTAAATCAACATAAATAATAATGTTAACTTTTTAAACAGATTTCTACGTTTACACCAACTTCTTTCAAGTTTTGATCAAAAGCTAACTGTAATTCTCGTCATCGGAACGATTTCTCTCATTTTTGCTTCATGTACAGGACGTTAAACGAATGACGAGGCACGGAGTGATGAGAACGTGTGCGTTCTGTGAACATGCAGCGTGAACATTGAGTGTGAAGAAGCTGAATCTGGGTTCATGAATTTAAACCAAGCAGCTGAATTAGCAAAAACAAAGCTAAAAGACAAAAGTAGAAAACCTGAAGCTAAAAGCTGAAATGATCAAAACAGCAACTAAAACGTGCACAGTAGATGCTTATATTATCTAAGCTGTAGGTAAATAGAATAGAAAGGTGTCTTAAGTAGCAGAACATTAGCTAAAACCTAAATGTATAGCATTAATCACAAAATGTTTTGACTCATACGTGCAGAAAACCAGACAGGAAAGCAGCTAAAATGATCCATTCTAGTTGTGATGAAAGCAAATGTTATTTATTGCACCAGTGTTTATGGTGACGGCTCCGAAGGGCCACATGTGGTCCCAGGGCCACAGGTTGCAGAGGCCAGGTTTAAAAACAGCCTCCTCATCCTGAATGAACTTCAAGCGTTTGTGTGTTTCAAGATGTACACGAGGCCCGTGATCAACCCGGTCCCAGAGACTGAGAACAACTCCAAGGCAGCCGAAAGACAGAAAGCCAAGGACAGCAAGATGACCGATGAGCAGATCATGGAGAAACTAAGTCTGTGAAACACACTCGCTGAGATTTGCAGAGGGCAGAACAAATCCTTGTGTTGGGCCTCATCTCTATTGACCTTTTATTTGTTGTTCTTGGTGATTCTCAGGAACCATTGTCAGCGTGGGAGATCCAAAGAAGAAATACATTCGTTATGAAAAGATCGGCCAGGGGTGGGTCAGAGCTCAGCCTTTCTCAAATGATAGAGTGACGCGTCCAAGAAAAGCTGTGCAGCTGTCACTGACGTTCACATGAAGTTAGATTTTAATCTGTTTTGATTTGTTTTCAGGGCGTCTGGCACCGTTTACACAGCCATTGATGTTGCCACGGGACAAGAGGTGAGCGTTCTTCTTCTCATACTTCTGTTCTTTGTGTGAGTGGTCCGTCAGTGAAAATGTTCAAGTGCAGAACCCATTTCAGCTAAATCTGCTTTTATGGATCACATTCTAGAACTAAATACAAATCCTCTGCTCTGATTGGTTGGGTTTGTCTGCAGGAACATGTTTACAAGATGTTTTTTTACAGGTGGCCATCAAACAGATCAATCTGCAGAAGCAGCCAAAGAAAGAGCTGATCATCAACGAGATCCAGGTCATGAAGGAGCTGAAGAACCCCAACATCGTAAACTTTGTGGACAGGTAACGCCGACACATACTGCGGAGACGCACGAGAAGGAAACGGCTCACAGTACCAATGTGTGTGTTTAGCTTCCTGGTTGGAGACGAGCTTTTTGTGGTCATGGAGTACCTGGCAGGAGGATCTCTGACTGACGTGGTGACAGAGACGTGCATGGACGAGGCTCAGATTGCTGCAGTGTGCAGAGAGGTTCCTCACATCTCCAACAGGCTGTGTCCACTACAGCGTCATGAGAACACGTCTCTTGATCAAGAAGTTTTCTCATTTTCTGTTCCATGTGTTCAGGTCCTTCAAGCCCTGGAGTTTCTGCATGCCAACCAGGTCATCCACAGAGACATCAAGAGTGACAACGTCCTCCTGGGGATGGACGGATCAGTCAAACTCAGTGAGGACACACACAACAGCACAAGCAGCTCTTCCGACATGTTGAAGCAGTATTTATAGTTGGAAGGACTTTTACATGAACTGCATTTACACAAATAATGCACCATTATTATAAAATGACATTTTTCATTACCGTATTCTCCACCGTACACGTCGCACCGCCCAATAAGTTGCATCAGTCCAAATATGTTTAATAACGTGGAAAAATCCATAAATACGTCACTTCACCGTATACGCCACATCTATTATGTGTCACCGCTGACAACCTGGAAATGTGGCCGGTGTTGTGCCAAAAATCGATTGGCTGCCAAATGGCGGCCGCAGCAGCGTGCACGGGAGGACTTTAACAAGAACTTAACGAGACTAACACTTGAAAACAAGTGTTTGCTCAACATTATAGTAACGGTGCGTCTCAGCTGAACTTTTACTTAATAAATGCACTTCAATGGTCAAATCAGCTGCATTTCTCCGAGGCGGTGCAACAAAATGAAGCTGATCTGACGGCTGCTCCAAGCGAGCAGAACGAAGGTGGCAGTCTATGGCAACCCAGTTGTGTCATTAATAGCCACTTTTACCTATTACATGACACAACGGCATGCCATACTCCTCAAGTGCCATCTAGCAGCTGAAAATGGTAGTGTTCAATATTTTCAGTGAGAATGAATGAAAACATTCACATCTCAGCCAACAGTTGGTTTATAAATCTGGAAAACAATCCATAAACATGTTGCTTCGGCGTGTAAGTCACAGGGCGTGCAAATTATGCAAAAAACCACGAGCTATGGCGAAAAATACAGTCCTCGTTTTTCACCATGTGTATTTTTAACGTGCTGTAGCACCCTCGGCGCCCCCACAGCCTTGCCCTGAAAACATTTACGGTAGCTTTGTGCACCTCTGAATTAAAACACGTCTGCAATGAGAACTTTATAAATTGGTACTTGCATTACAAAGTATAAGAAACAGCCCTGTTTCAGGTCAGTACCTAAGGATAAAGCAGGGTTTTAGTGAAGCGTAATGAAGCCCAGCCCTCTCGAGCAGTCCTCACCAGAGGAACATCCCTCAGAGTTGAAACGAGTCACAGACTTTGTGTGATCCGACACTTTCATGGTTTTTGCACAATTATAGTTTAAGTTTCATGATTCAGGACGTTTTTCTCCAACACAAGTTTGATGACGTCACTCTAATATTTGAATTGTATAAAATTCATTGTTACATCATCAAATTGTTAACATTTTTGTCTGAGTGTGTCTTGCTGCTGTAGGATTTATAGTTTTGTGCTGACTAGGCGCAGAGTGCTCACCCCAGCTTCCACAGTCAGTTATTTTAGCTCAAAATAGTTCCTTCAACACAAAAAGTATGTTTGTTTTTTTTACTTTTCTCCTAAAACATTAGAGAAACATGAAAATTACATGTAAGATCTGACTCGGACTGATTGTTTGACACTTATTTTTCAGTCTGCCTCATTAACTTGGCAGTCAGGGAGTGACAGACACAGGCCTGTGGTTTCCATGGTGACCATGGCAGCAGCTGTAACATTTCTTTTGACCTTGCTTCTCGTTACACTTCTGACAGCGTGCATGTATCGGGGCTGTTGTAGCTCAGTGGTCAGTGCTGCGGTCTTGTACTCCTGAGGCCGCAGGTTCAAGCCCAGGTTGCATTAGCCGGGGTGTGTGATGTAAAAGCGTTGGCAAAGCGTGGCTGAGGCAGCCCTGCAGAACGGAGCAGCTGAAAGAGAAACGGCATGTGTAACGGAGGCAGTCTGTGCAGCAGCTGCGCTCACGTCCCACAGACTTACGAGAGCTCAGAGAAGTTTAACGTGACGTCAAGTCATGAAATCTATTTTTGTTTTTTCAGCTGATTTTGGCTTCTGTGCCCAAATCACTCCGGAGCAGAACAAGCGCAGCACCATGGTGGGGACTCCATACTGGATGGCTCCGGAGGTGGTGACCCGCAAAGCTTATGGACCCAAAGTGGACATTTGGTCCCTGGGGATCATGGCCATAGAGATGGTGGAGGGAGAGCCCCCCTACCTGAACGAGAACCCTCTCAGGGTGAGTGTTTCCTCATCAACAGCTGTTTCTGCGTCCAGGTGTGTCTCAGTCTTTAGGATCCGTTTATTTTTGGATTTATTTTGAAATGGTTCTAAGAATACTTTACTGATAAAACTTTAGTTATCTCAGATCTTCCACGTGCATCATCCTGTTCAGGCTGTCGTTTGGTACTCCGTATTAGTTTACCTTATTAGTGTTTGTGTACATCTTACATCCTCGTTGATTGTTGGATGTAACTGGCACCTTGAGTTTAGTTCCACCACGTGTACCACACGTGATGAATGACAGTAAAGAACCTTGAATCATGTGGCTGACCTTTAAAAGTCTGAACAACGTCCTCATGAAGCCTGGTCTGAACAAAATCAGTAACAAATAATAACCGTTGAATATGTGAAATGAAGATGACGAAGATCAAGCATGGTGTGTTAATATCATGTTAATATCATGTTGATGTTGTGTTCAACTTCAGTGTAAACGGCTTTAGAACAAAGCTGAGGACAGTCATGACTCGTGTGTCGAATATAAACATGACATTTGATCCGATGTGATCAAACATCATGAATACTCTTAATACAGCTAACGGTGCAAGTTACTGTGGAGGCCAGCGTCCTCCAACCCTCCTCTTCCTCTTGTTGCAGGCGTTGTATTTAATCGCCACCAACGGGACTCCGGAGCTGCAGAATCCAGAGAAACTGTCCCCCGTCTTCAGGTCCTTCCTGTCCCGCTGTCTGGAGATGGATGTGGAGAAACGAGGCTCAGGCAGAGAACTTCTGGAGGTACAGCACGCACAGAAGAGACGAAACCACTCGCCGGTTTGGAAACCCTAGTGTTTTACCCACACACGATCCTGGACGCTTTGAGTTTAGACAAGTTGTGATCCTTTCTCTTTTGTCTGCTGGCTTCAAACAAACATGCATCACGCTTCAAACACGCTCTCATCTGCTGCAGAGCTTCACTGAACATTTTTATTTTGAATCATTTACATCCTGGACCTGTCCGTTTACAATAATGCAAAGTATGAAAGGGATTTTAGTTTTCTCATCATTCTGTTTAACTAAAGTTTAGGTCTGTCACAATAACACATTTTGCTGGGCGAAGAATAAATGTTGCTTAATTTGTTTTGAGTGTAGTACCTTTTTTTGACCACTGGGTGGCAGTATAAGACTGGCTGAACCGAAGGATGCATAGTGAGGGAGCGAGTAGTGTGTCTCTTTAAGAAAAATGGGAGGGGGGCCCCTTGACATCACATGGGCTGTCTCTCCTTCCTTTATTCGGTTCTAAAAATGGCGGACGCTCGGTGTGGTTTGAGCTCTTTAGCATTTTTCACACAAAGCTTTTGATAAAAACTCAGTAAACAAGTTTTCAGCTTCTTTTTGCAGAAAAAACAACTTTTTAGATGAAGGCACGAGTTTCAACCGTCAATTTTGGAGCTTCAACAAGACGGAGGTTTTTTCCCTGAGGTCGGCCTGTTAGCTTAGCTTGTAGCTTAGCTCGTAGCTTAGCTCGTAGCTTAGCTTCTCAGCTTTGCTGCTTTTAACGATCCAAAAACGTGATTTTGGTCGATTAAAACAGATTTTAAAGAGAAAGGGGGGGTCAGTGAAGAGTTGAGCCTTTTGTCCTCCAGTGTGTTCAGTAGAAAGAGAGACACGAAGAAACGATGAAGCTGATAAATGAAAATGAGGTCGATAATTTTCATTTATCATGTGATTAACTGATTTATTGTGACAGGTCTACTAAAGTTGTTTTCATGCACTTCTTTCTTTTTTCAAATGTGTATTTGTCCATGGCGTTAGCAAAAGATCCCATGAACACAGCTGATGAGTCCCAGGTGGAATTTATTTAATGTACGTCTAAAGCTGATTACGAGTCAACGTATGAAACGTTGTAACGCTCCTCCAGTGCTGAGCTGACATCTGGTGTGGCAGCAGCTGAAACTGATCCTCGACTCATCCTCAGAACATCGCACAACTACAGTGGGGAGAACAAGTATTTGATAGACTGTTGATTTTTCAGGTTTTCCCACTTGCAAAGCTTGTAGATGACTGTAATTTTTATCATAGGTACTCTTCAACTGTGAGTGATGGAATCTAAAACAAAAATCCAGAAAAATACAATGTATGATTTTTAAATAATTTATTTCCATTTTATTGTGTGAAATAAGTATTTGATACACCAGAAAAATGAAACTTAATATTTGGTACAGAAACCTTTGTTTGCAATTACAGAGCTCAGACGTTTCCTGTAGTTCTTGACCAGGTTTGCACACACTGCAGCAGGGATTTTGGCCCACTCCTCCATACAGATCTCCTCCAGAGCCTTCAGGTTTCGGGGCTGTCGCTGGGCCACACGGACTTTAAGCTCCCTCCAAAGATTTTCTATGGGATTCAGGTCTGGAGACTGGCTAGGCCACTCCAGGACCTTAAGATGTTTCCTACGGAGCCACTCTTTAGTTGCCCTGGCTGTGTGTTTTGGGTCGTTATCATGCTGGAAGACCCAGCCACGACCCATCTTCAGTGCTCTTACTGAGGGAAGGAGGTTGTTGGCCAAAATCTCACGATACATGGCCCCATCCATCCTTCCCACAATATGGTGCAGTCGTCCTGTCCCCTTTGCAGAAAAGCATCCCCAAAGAATGATGTTTCCACCGCCATGCTTCACGGTTGGGACGGTGTTCTTGGGGTTGTACTCATCATTCTTCTTCCTCCAAACATGACGAGTGGAGTTTAAACCAAAAAGTTCTATTTTTGTCTCATCAGACCACATGACCTTCTCCCATTCCTCCTCTGGATCATTCAGATGGTCCTTTGCAAACTTCAGACGGGCTTTGACATGCGTTGGCTTGAGGAAGGGCACCTTGCGTGCACTGCAGGATTTTAATCCTTGACGGCGTAGAGCGTTACTGATTGTTTTCTTTGAGACTGTGGTCCCAGCTCTATTCAGGTCATTGACCAGGTCCTGCCGTGTAGTTCTGGGCTCATTCCTCACCTTCCTCAAGATCAATGATGCTCCACGAGGTGAGATCTTGCATGGCGCCCCAGACCGAGGGAGATTTTCCGTTATTTTGTATTTCTTCCATTTTCTAATAATTGCACCAACTGTTGTTGCCTTCTCACCAAGCTGCTTGCCTATTGTCCTGTAGCCCATCCCAGCCTTGTGCAGGTCTACAATTTTATCCCTGATGTCCTTACACAGCTCTCTGGTCTTGGGCATTGTGGAGATGCTGGAGTCTGATTGATTGAGTGTGTGGACAGGTGTCTTTTATACAGGTCACGAGTCCAAACAGGTGCAGTTAATACAGGTAATGGGTGGAGAACAGGAGGGCTTCTTAAAGAAGAACTAACATGTCTGTGAGAGCCAAAATTCTTACTGGTTGATAGATGATCAAATACTTATTTCACACAATAAAATGGAAATTAATTATTTAAAAATCATACATTGTATTTTTCTGGATTTTTGTTTTAGATTCCATCACTCACAGTTGAAGAGTACCTATGATAAAAATTACAGTCATCTAGAAGCTTTGCATGTGGGAAAACCTGAAAAATCAACAGTGTATAGAATACTTGTTCTGCCCACTGTACTTCATTTTTAAAACTTTGGCAACACTGTGTCTGTTAGCATAATATCTCTTAAACTAGCTTTGAGTGAAACTTTCAGGAAATCATTGGATGTGCACGTTCAGAGTCCGTACACTTCAAAATGGGCACTACACAAAAACGGCTATCAGTGAGTCACATGGTGAGATCATATTCTGTGTGGTAGTAGCTGAAAGTCATCACTTTCTTTGAGAGCTAACACTTCAAGGGTTTCATGTTCCTCATTTTTGCCCAGACTTTCAAAAGTTTTGTAGATTTGAAGTCATTTTGTACGGTTGTGTAATCTCTGAGCGTCTGTGGGCTGCTGGGTTTGAACGATCCAAACTGTGACCTGTGCTTCTCTTCTTCTTCTCTTGTTGTTCTTCAAAGTGCCGGCCAGACGACATGTTGTGGCTCATGCTCTGATGGTCTCATGTGGATTCCAAATCTGGATCTTGAAGTTCTTTTCTCTCTTTGTCAGGATCCGTTCCTGATGCTGGCCAAGCCTCTGTCCAGCCTCACTCCGCTCATCCTGGCAGCCAAGGAGGCCATGAGGAGCAACCATTAACCCCCAGCTCTAAAGACTGTTCCAAGAAGGCCAGGCAGACCCTGCTGGAGTCCATAGAGTCTGAAGATCACAGATCCTCAAGTGTTCGTGTTTGTCATTGTCAGAAAATGCTGCTCCACTTTTCCTCACGTCTCCTGATCGTCTGTTTGTGCCTTCACCTGGCGCGGCTCGTTTGGACCCACCCGGGCCTCAGTACCAGCCTGTTTCTAAACATTTTGCACAACAGAAGCCAGATTTACACCCACAGATGTGCTAAGATCTGTTTCACCTGCTCTGCAAGAGTTTCAACTCAACGCCTTCAGAGATTTACTGAGAAGACAAAACTGTAGGTTGTTACACAAAGTATGTAAAAGAATAATTTCATGTTGGAGCTCAGAACAGGTTCAGTCAGGTCGTCTGGACAGATTCTTCTCGTTTCACATGGAAGGTTCATCAGTCTGAGGCCTGCCGACCTGCTCCCTAAACCTAACCCTCTGACCTTAAACCAAACTCTCACCCTAACCCCACCCTTTGACCCTAAACTTAACCCTGACTGCCAAGCCTAAGCTGGCCCTCTGACCCTAAGCCTCTGACCTTTGACCCTAAGTTTGACTGCCAACACTGACCATAAAACCCCAGACCTGGACCTCTGACACTGGACTCGGACCCTGACACGTACCCTGGGCCTTACCTAATACTCTTCCTCCTGGAAGCCCTCGGTGGAGTGAGGCCACAGCTGGAGGCCTGGGTGGGGTGATGGGAGCGTGCATGTGTGGCCAGTGCAGGGATGGACTGTGCACGATGCTCTGACCTCTGAGCGACATTATGTGGTGGTTTCTGTAGGTCTGAGCGTGACATGAAACTAAAACCAAACGGGGATGGGACAGCACGGTCTTTGAGCTGCAGAAAAACCAAATGCGAGTCCTGGTTTGACTCGTAACGTCTGAGAAACCAGTCATTCCAGTACGTACTGAGACTTCACTTTATTTTCTATTCAAATAGATTCTTTTGAAAATAAATGATAGTTGAAAACTTCAGGGTTTAATGTAACTTCATCTCAGAATTCTTGCATGTTGCATTTAGTGAAGGGACAATCTGTGCAAACATTCAAAACAGATTTGACTTCATTTGTCTCTTCAGCTGCGTCTCCTTGTTCTTCATGTTTGTACAACTTAGAAAATTGTTTTTATTTTAAACCAGAAAACAATTTATTTCCTACATGTTTTAGATCTCTTTTGTATATTGTGTAATGTCCTGTATTTTAACAGTTCAAATCTAGTATATACTTTATCATTGTTCTGTTTTTGTGACTAACGGCAAGACACAAATTGTTTTTAGTCTCAAAAACATCACTTATGAACTCCAAGCCAAATAATAGATTGAAAATAGTCAGAAACTGAAGCCTTTTTATTGTTTTGTTTTGATCTTTGAACCAGATGTACTTTGTTGTACATGATAAATCTATAAAAATCTGTTTAAAAATGGATGAAAAAGATGCTTGTTGTGCTAAAACAGATTGATAAACCAATTCTATAACTTTATTTTGAACACATGGACTGTGTTTGATGGAAATAAATGTGTTAATCATGAAACTGACAGCTTTTGTCCTTGAATAAAACCCATAAAGCTGGACCTGAAGAGATTTGTGTAAAATAAAAGCCTAGCTTTCATGAATTCATACTGCTGCTGCCTTTTGTGACACAATTTTAGACTAAAATGATTTGAACATTAAGCAAAAATCTCATGTGATGGTTGCGAATGTCACTCAGGGTATGTGTTATGCATAACTCGCAACTACTACCACATCCAAAAAGATCATTTTTGCAAATGTCATGAACAGGTAAGACAGAATGTTAGTTGCAGTTCCACGACTCGTCCACAAGATGGCGATGCTCCGTCAGACCACCAGCAGAACGCTGGCTCCGCCCACATTCAGCTTCCCTTCCTCTGGCTTTAACGCAGCAGCGTCGCTGGCTCCGCCCACATTC